ATTTTGTCAATTACACACTTAAAAATCCTATCTGTGGCCAAAAAGGAGGTTTTTCAGTGCTTTCAGCAGAGTTATTGCTGTAAATGCTACAAAAGTGTTTGCTTTTGTCACTGCTATGTTTAGTTTGCACTTAAACAATGCTTTTTATCGGATGCAACTCCTTGAGGCTCAAATTGAGCTAGGTTGAAGTCATCATCATGGTGAGGTTTTTCTTGCTGTATATCTCTTGGTAACTGATTAAACACAGCACTGGTCGCAGCTAGATCAACTTCCTCTAGATAGGCTGGTGCCTATTTGCACCAGCACGGTAGGAGCCCATCTAAGCTATTATAGGGCCATAGGCAGGGTACACCCTGGACAGGCTGCCAGTCTGTTGCAGGCCCACAGAGAGACAGACAACCATTCACACTTACATTCACATCTATGAACAATTTAGAATCACCAATAAATTAAACCCCTTTGGACTGTGGGAGTACCCAGACGCAGACACAGGGAGAGCATGCAAGCTCCACACAGAAACGCTCCGGGCAGATGTGGAGTTGCTGCGAGGCAACAGTGCTAACCACAGCGCCACCATGCTGCCACCTGACAGTTAAAAAATATGTTATTATGACGTTTTATTTTTTTTAAATAAAACGACAGTGCACATAATACAGTAAAGGTAATACAGACATTTTTCTCTCATGCGTAGAACCAACTGGGTTTCTGGATCGGGTCGTGAGAGTGACCACTGAGCCGTACATTCTTGTGTGGATTGAAACGAGCCAGCAAAGCAAAGAATTTGCATCAGTTTTTTGTAATCTGACTTACTTGATGAATCACCACAGGCCTATTAGAATTCATTTTAAGATAAAATAAATGTTTTAAACTTTTAAGTATAATGTGAGTGGACAAGTAGCTAATAGAACCTTTGATGTGAGGCTTGAGAGAGAAATTTGGACTTGCCAGATGACTTGGATTTGAATCTATTTACTTAGTTAATAGTCTGGGAGCTCAAATTACCCCCCAAAATACTGAAAAATTTCCTGCTGAACAGCTCTGCCAAATAGTCCTGAGTAATTAGCTATATCACCAATGTCATTATGATTTAATGCACACACATTAGGAAACTGTTAGATCTTGATTTAGAGTATACTCTAAATTCTGATCAAAGAAAACAAATTAAAAAAGTCAAAATAAAAGGAATTGGTTTCGACAGATAAACCAGTAGTTCTGTAGATTTTTATCCAGTGTATCGCCTCCCTGCAGGAGTCCATATGATTCAGATGTGCTAATTATAGTAAATCCTAATAATCATATTGGTAATGATTTAGTACCTTGTCTTGTAAATACAGCCAGAACATTGCACTTATTAAAGAGAATTAACAAGGTCCCAAAAGCGATTGATCCTCTTCTCACTCATCCCTTTGTATCTCACAGGTGGTCTCTACACCCTTGTGTACAATATTTCCCTCTTCATCATGTCTCAGACGACAGTATCTTTCCCTCCTGCTGGTAGTTACCTTAATAGCTCACCTCACAGTTGAGTGATGTCATTCATTACACGCCTGCTTCACACTGCTGAGTATTATATGGCTGTCGCTGTCACACCGTGATCTCTGATTCACCCTGAACCTGAATGCAGTACAGTTAAGCCTGATTTGTAGACACAAGCTGCTGCGGTACCTATTTATCATTCAGTTGAAGCAAATGAGCATCTTAAAAAACAAAACGACTAAAGTTGATCTGATGTTTCTTACACTCTTCCAATCAAAATGACATAGTTTAACTTGTACTGAAAAACTCTGTAACCTAACATAATGAATTATGTATTTAATGTAGTAAGTTTGATTCACTGCAAAAAATGAATATAAAGCCAGCAAATGTTAAACTAACCAGTGCCCCTGTATGTGCTTGACTTTCAGTAATGCCTAAGCTCTCATCTTTATTACTTCTTCTACACAACCTTCTCCCAAAACCACTACCTCTGTTTGATGCCGAGCCATTTTTTTGTTCTCCCCCCCTCCCCCCTCCCCCCGCTCTCCAGTTTCTCGGTTTCACATCTCTTGCCAAGTTGCTGCTCAACTGACTCTGCGGTACCACACTCTGCTGTAAGGAAATTTTGGGGTAGTTTTCTAATCTATGCACAGCATCTGACTGAAACCCAAGCTTGATGCATAATGAATAACACGAAATAAAAGATGAAAAAGTTGCAGACACCTGGGCACCATCTGTGTCAGGAAAGTTCTGTGTTTCTTTTCCCTTTTCCTTTCTCTGCCCATCCTACTTTTCCCTCCCTCCTGTGTGTTCATGGTAAGAAACACCCTTTTAGCGAGAGCTGCTGTTGCCACTAAAAACGTCTGTAGAACAGTTGACACAGTACGACAGTCTTAGAATTTTCCCCAAACCCCTTTTCTTCTTCTTCTACTTCATCTTTTTTGTTGGATTTTGACATAAGCACTTTTTTTGTACTGGTAGAGAGAGTTAAAGGGTTTGTGTGGGATGAGTCATAGACAGGGAGGGGAGGGGAACACAGTGATATACTCCATCATCTTCTTTCCTTCTCAATCCCCTTTCAATGACTTTAGCGATAAAGGTACTAGCGCTGCCCTGAAAATGGATGAAAAGCTGTCTACATCCGAAATGGACGTTCTGTCCATCCTTTTTGGAACTTCAACAGCTTTTCATAAAAATATTATTCTGTGCAGTTGGACGAGAAAAACTAACATTGTTTGTTTTGCTGATTTTTTTATTTTATTTTTAATTTAATTTTTTAAGCTTAAATATACATGTTTGTGATAGATTTTTATATCAGTGAACTTTGTTCTTTTTATTTTCCAAACTCTGATGCATACAGGGGAAAAAACTGCTTCTGTGTGGCTGAGATTCAGCAATTTTTCCAGACTACTGGATTTTGAGTAGTTTTTCTTTATAACTGCAGTGCTGCCTCATCATATTTTGATGCCTGGTGCTTTGGTCTAAAGAAGAGAGTAGACTGAGTTTTTGCGGGCACATTCACAGTCATTGTATTTGTATTAACATATACCATTAACAGTCTTTAATCGTTTGCACAACTCCTTTGCAAGGCGAAAAAGGAAATGTACAAATCTGATGAGAGTTTCAAACACAACATTGTGCCTTCCACAGAGCAGACAAAAGGGTATCCATAAATAGGATAGGAGGAGTTGCAGAGAATATTTTGGCAGGGCTCATACTGTGGAAGATCCGAAATGACACAAAGGTAATCCTATAAAACCCCAACTGCAGGGGGGTTACTTGTCGGAGTGAGTACTCGCAAGCATTAAAGATCTTTAACCATACTGCAGTGCTGTTAGGGCTGAGCTCATTTTTAACCTTGTATGTAGGAAACATACTGTAGTGTAGTTTGGCCTTTTCTAACTGTATGAAGTTGTGATGAATTTACAAAATCAAAAAAAAGAAAAGAAAAAGAATGTAGAAGGTAATTTTTTTAATTATCATTTTTCAAGGCAAAGTGGTAGAATTTAACATCAATAGCAAACCAAAGTCAAACAGTCTATTTGTGTTAGAGGTTAAAGTTAAACTGTCTTCAGTTGGATCTGCCCATTAAATTTTAATCACATCTTGAACCCTGGATTCCCTGAGAGTTTGTAAAACACTGTAGCACTCTGTTATGGATCCAACTTGTGATGTAAAAATATATTTTTCAATTTTATATTTTTCCTGAATAGTTTGAGGCTGAAGACCTGGTGGGTGAAGAGTTAACAACAAGGTTATGATAATTAATTAAAACTAAATGAAAATAATAGCCAGGAACAAAACATTTTGGTCGCCTAAGATGAAAACTAAAATTAAGATTATATAATTTTGGAAAACTAAATAACTAAATAAAAAAAATATATCTATAAGGGTAATTTTTAGTATTTGTTAATTTGGTAAAATATGATTAAGTGTTTATTGACACTTTACGGTTTTACAAGACTGTAAATCATCTGCTTTTCAAAACTTTTTGTGTTTGTATTCTAATACCCAGATCTTGCCCCTTTAAATATACTATATATTATATCTATATATCAGTCATATCCAGTCATGACCACTATCATTAAAACAACCAAACAAACAAAAAACATTATTTCCATTTGTAGACATATATATATTTGCTGGTATATGTCACCACTCGTACATGAAAGGTTAGATATGGGCATTAAAAACAGGACAAGAATCAGATGGGGTGGAACTGGGTTGATCAGTTATTACTGCAGGTCACTGACCAGCCTCTAGGTCAGTGTGCCTGGAGCTTTAGCAATCGATTTCACAGCGATTTCCAGCAACCACTTTCAAAAATATGCATATTCTACTGCTTATGTGTTACCTTTAGGTTCCTTAATGCCATTGTCTTGAAACAAGCTACTGAAGTGAATGGAGCATCATGTATTGATTGTTACTGATGCTGTTGAAGGTGCAGTCATTAACCCTGTCAGAGAGAAAGATTGCAATGCTTTGCCAGGCTTGAAGGAAACCAACATACGCAGCGCATCAAACTCCACTTGACTCACCTTCCAAATGATCTGTGCTTTGTGTTGATGGCAGGAGTTGTGGGTTGTTGCTTGTCATTGGGCGACCTCCTTGAATGATGACGATGTCTGCTTTATTGCTCATACCTTGTGTCTCATCTACGCTGCAGTGCCTCTCTGGACGAGCGTGTTTTCCAAGTTGAATTGTTGTCATTTCAGTTTCAGCCCTGGAAAATGATGCTTGGAATGTAATGGAACATTGCACATAAGTCACGAACAGCAAAAATGGAATATTGAAAAATGAAAGCGTCTATGTGTGTTGGGTGTCAGGTGAATCCCTGCTTCTGGAGAAATATTAGATTGCATCGTGCCAAGGAGATGGATAACATTTTTCTGGGGAACTTGAGGATAATGACAGGGTAAAACAGCATATCTTTCTCATTTGGATTCAGAAGAAGAGTTTGCCTATTTGTCATGAAATGCGTGCAGAACATTCAACGTAAATTTGCTGTATGTCTCCTTTTGCAGATCATAATATGTTGAAAATTATTGAAGGAGCACATTTGGCCTGTGTCCTGAAAAAACATCCTGCACTGGATTCTGTCCTGCACCTCTTTCCAGAGAATGTCCTTGTATCCGGGGAAGAGAACATTCCTGGACTAGTAGCTTCCCCGACAGGTAAACTTTACATCACTGAGAAATTTTAGGATCTTAAGGCCCTTTTAAATAGGACATGCTGCGCCCTGAAACCCATTCTTTTCCTTTGCTTGCACCACCACACAATAATTGTCACTCACCCAACTTTGACTGCTACATGCTGTGACATACCTTCATGCAACCAAAAGAAATGAAGCCTAGAGCTGTTCTAAATTCAACCACACAATGTACCAAAACTGAAGAAAGTTGATTCTGTGCCTATTTGAGTTCAATAAACTTTATGACATAAGTTTATGTGCATGTAAGGACCTCGGGAGGAAAGCAGTGTGTTGTGGAAACGACAGTTTTCACAAGTAGGGACAGCATCTAAGCTTTCTTTTTTATCGATGTGAGATACATGTTTTGAATGACTGGGAGCAGGCGCATCTAGTACATGGCGAGGAGTACTCACGTGTACTTAGTTATGCACTCCTCGTCAGAGTTTGTGTTAATATGTCAGCCTGCAAGAGTACAAAGCAGCATGTCAGTTAAAATACGTATGAATATTCATTGTGTGAACTACTTTAGAAAAATATTGATATGTTTTGAGATCAGCGTAAGACGAAAGCTCCCTAATGAATTGAATATCTGTAAGTCTGAGTTTTGGTTTTTACAGCTGGGTGAATTTAAATTGTTTGCCTTCAGCTTATGTGGCTGGATTGTTACTCTCATTAAGATTATTTTAAACACATTAAATCCTAATGACTGTCATGAGGCCTGTGAGCAGGAGAAGTTACTTGTTAGTCATTGTCTTGACTAATCAGCCTACTTTTGCCTTTTACTCATTTATTCAATATATGCTTCTACAGACACCCCCCCCCCCCCCCACAAGGTTGGCTGTTAATGTGGTGTGCCTTTGCCCATCTTAAAGCGTCAGTTCACTTATGAAGTACAAGACCTTATAAAATTTCAGAGAGAAGGATAAAGCCCCAAACACACCACAAGCCTAGAGAGTGTTTAGGACCATCTGGTAACTGGTCACAAGAGAAAAATGCGTAATCCTCATTTGGCTGGCGAGTGGTTGCTGCAGGTTGCTTGGTGTTGCTAGGTGAAGTTGGTTGCACAGAAGAATATGATGCTTCATGGAAAACTCCTTGCAATTGCTTTGCTCACTAGCAAATTGCTGTGGTCACTCACATTCTTAAAGAAGGATTCCAGCTTGTCTGCAAACACTTGCTAAATAGTTGCAGAACAGTAGTGAAAAGTGTTACACAAACAAAAAACAGAGACCGTTAACCTTCAAAAAAAATGTTGCACCTTTTGAAACATGTTAGCTTTAGTGGGAAGTTACAGCAAACATTCTTTTTTTTCAGTCAACCTTTTCAACTTTTGCAGTAGTTTACAAACAAGTTGGCCTCTTCCATGTAAATGAGTGGCTGCTGCAATTTTCTAGTATCCAAAGCAATCATGAGGTTTTTGTTGTAGCACCCTCTTTGTGACCGATTTCACCTAGCAACTGCAGCAAGATCGGGGGGTTAGGCCTGGGGGACTGAGGCCTCAACACCTTAGTTCAGTGGAAAGTAAAAGGGGCAAAAGTGAGCCTAAAGAGCATAATTGTGCAGCTACTTACCAGTTAGTAAAGTATTGTGACAGATTGAGAATTTTATTGGGTGTACCTGCACTCATGTGTACTACAGATTGTGTGTACTTGTTGCACATTTTGTCCCCTTTCAACACCCCAGTGAGTTTAGAGTTGGAGTGATGTCACCTGAGTAATATGACACTGCTCAGTCAAAATCATTTAACATGTCATGTCTGATCTTATATTATATAGATCAACCGCTTCTCACTTTTCTCCTTCAAGCTGTCACAATAACATACGGGACATTCATCATAGTTATTCCCTTTTTTACAAACTTAGTTCCATCAGAAGTTGAAATGTCTGCAGTACTTAGAAAGTGAGTTTCTAAGGGGGAATGTAATGAAGTCTGACAGTGCAGAGCTATAATCATTGGGAGTCAGTGGGAGGTATGGTAGCAGGCTAATCCTCTTCATGTTCTGGGGCTGTGAGCAGCAGAGACCTAAGCTGCCTTTTAAGACCACAGCCACTGGCTTGATATTCACACTGCATTCAGAACAGTCCAACTCTGCGCTCCTGAGACAAAGGCTGCAATGAAATGCTCAGTGGCTGCATTACTCTTGAAGAGATTACAATCACACTGGCTATTTACTCTTTGTTGTGTCTGAAAGGGGTGATTGTGGATTCAGACTTTCTTACATCGTCTGTTTGCTGCAGTGCTTTGTTCATTCAGTTCGGGTTCAATTAATGCCAAGTATCCAAAAGGAAACTGTTTTTGTCTGGTTTTTCTGACAGAAGCATTTCAGTCTTTCTCTGGTTTAAATATTCCAGTGACTGGGATTAGAAAGCTTTCCACAACGCATTAAAGAAATAGATGTACTAAAAAAGGACTGAAATTCCTGATCCAGCTCATGGATACGCCTATGACAAAGAAGGGAATATGATAAATCAACAATCATATAGTATATATATATATATATTATAATATATATATATAATATAATATATTATATATATATAATATTATATATAGATATATATATAAATATTATAACTAATAGCTGACTAATATTATTATATATTGCCATATATAGTATATATAGGCGTGTATATATATATATAGTATATAATATATATATATAGTATATATATATATATGTTATATATAATATATATTATATGTATATATATATATATATATGTATATATATTATATGTATATATGTATTATGTATATATATATTATGTATAGTATGTATGTATATATGTATGTATGTATAGTATATTATGTATTATGTATGTATGTATATATGTGTTATTATTATATATATGTATTATGTATTTATTATATGCTATTATATATATATATATATGTGTTCTATGTATCATATCCTTTCACTATATATATAATATATATACAAAATATATCATATATATTATATATATATATCATATATATATATAATATATATATATTATATATTATATATATTATATATTATTATATATCTATATATATATATATAATACAAGGTATATACTATATACTATCTATCTATCTATACTATCTATACTATATATATATATATATATATATCTAAAATATAGTATATATATATGTATTATATATATAGTATATATATATAGTATATAGTATATATATATATATATATATATATATATGTATGTATGTTCAATTATACTATATCATATATATAGTATGTTATATTATGTATATATATATATGTATGTATATATATATGTATGTATATATATATATGTATGTATATGTATATATATGTATGTATATGTATATATATGTATATATATATATAATGTGTGTGTGTATCTGTAACTAGCTTAATTATGACCTCTTATTTCAAGTCAGTTACAGACATGCAATACAGGGCTGAAGGAACATTGTGTTGATGTATACCAGGGATAGTGTGTTAGATGCCGCATATATTTCTATGTGATTTGAAAATTCTCAATATCTCAGAAAATGACGGCTATCCATCTTCCACAAGCAGCCAAAATCTGTCTGTTAAGATGTTAGCCAGCTTAGATTCAATTGTCTTAGACCATGTAGGGGGGCGAGATATAGCAGCATGTCTTTGAGCTCTTTTTAATATGTCAAACCAGGACAGAAACCTTTCTGTTGCTGTCCTGGCAGTCACTATTTTCCTGACTGCTGAGCTACTGAAAAATTCCCTTGCTTGGAAGTGTGTTATATTACTTGCTGATAAGTACATATTAACCACTTTCATACTTTTAAGTCCTCAGTTTGTTCTATATGATGTGTTTTAAGTCCTGTTTGTGCAGTTGTGGTCAGACATTTTCATACTCATCATGGACATGAATATCATGATCATTTTGTGCTCTTAAAAATTTATTTTCCCACGATATAATAATTGTACAGCATGAATGAATTTAATGAAAAACAAAAAATGGTTGCATGAGTTTGAATATATTTTGTATTTTCTATAATGCACACAGGGTTAAAATTATACATACAGACTCAAATACTTATATAGACTCCTCTAATATTTGGTTAAGTTTCCTTTAGCATATCGTGCCTTAAACAGACAGTTCAAAGAAATCATTCAAGGCCTCAAATACAAATGTCATTCATGCCCAGGATTAGTGTATGTAAACCTCTGACCATAACTGCAGTGTATAATGTAGATCCTTTAAATGTTACATATTGTTTTTAAATGTAAGAAGAAATAATTCAGTACAGCAATTTTATGGGGTTAAATATCTTGCTCAAGGACAAATTGGCATGCGGACTGAAGGAGCTGATAGAACTTTTGATTAGTGGACAGCTGGCTCGAAATTCTGAGCTGCAGCTGCACAACTGACCAACTGACTCACTCGCTGATTGTCGCTCTTTCCTGTCAGACGCTTTGGTCGGAATCAATTTCGATGAAAGCTGGAATTTTCAGACTGTCTTTTTCAGCTCATCAATCTTGACAGCTGTAATTCTCAGCTGACATCAGGAGACACTGAACTTTCCAAATGTTATGAAATTCTTTTTCCTTGATGGCTGTAAGGTAGCTTATGTGATGCTTCAGAAACTACTGCAAATTAAACTGGACTACAAAGACAATTAGCACATATAGGCCCATATTTCTATCTGCAGTTTGTAGTTGTAGTTTACTTGGTTCTGTTATGGGACCTTCTTCAGTTTCCACATGCACACGTGAGAGCCTAAAGGTGCGGATAACACATCAGCAGGCACAGAACAGAGAATGTATCAAGAACAACAGATGTGGATTAGGTGCAATAAAGCATGAATACAGAAGCTAGGGTGGAGGTGGATCGTAAAGCAGCTTGCAGATATCCTGATTTGGATTTTAGAAAGGTGTCAACAGAGTCATCAGCTGATGCGGCACTGAGATTGGCTGATCTGCCAGGATTGCACATAATGTTTTGTCCTTACTTTATGTGAAGAGAATTTTAATAAATCTTTCATAAAACTGAAAAAAATCCAGAATAAGCTTGTTGCACATATCATTCACTTTTATATATTAAACACGGAGTATACACACAGTGATTCTGCTTTTTTAAGCTGTGCATTTTCATTTGAAATCAGTCTTTCATGTTTCTTGAACTTCTCCGATGCCATTTTCTGGGGATGATGGAAAATTAATTTTACAAATGGGTCATGAACAAACTGTACTGAAATGTATTTCAGAACTTGTAGCTTGCATGTATTACACTAGATGGTGTTTTCTCCTCCACAGTAGTCCAAATGGAACAGACATTTTCTGAGCGGAAAACACATTTAACAGAGCAGGGAAGAAATCAATTTAGTCTAGGAAAGCACTCTAAATATGACTGAGGAAAATCGTGTAAATATTGAGGCGTGTGTGTCAGTTGATGTTATGTTCACGCTGTCATCAGGAGATGCTCTGCTGAAGCCTCAGACGCTCAAAACGCTGCCCTTCACCCTGAACAGACTTACCATCTCCCTTCAGCCGTCCCTGGAGAAGTTCGAGAGCCAGCTGCTGCAGCTGATCAATGCTGACTGCCAGAACACAGTAAGGCCAAGCTTTCATAACACACACACAGTCTTGATAGTTTTTGCAGATGACACATCAGGGAAGGTTAGATGACTGTTTTTCATAAAATACACAGATCTGTGTCTCATCTTCTTTAAAGTCCATATTCTCATGCGGAGCTCTGCAGTTGGAAGCATTTAAATTGCTACTGCAGTCAAAAACGATATTCCATTGATAAAAAATATACTGGCAAAGTTTCATTTTGAACTATATACACTCATAAAGCATGTCTTTTCCTCATCTTACATCCTATTTCCCTTAAATGTACAGTATATGTGGTGCTTACTTGGGAAAAGCAAATTGCCTTACGGTTCCCTTTTATGAAGATACATGTACGATGCATACGTACAGTCCTGATTTCATTCTTGTGAGGTGGCCATTCACCAATCTCCTCAAATTAAAGATGACCAGGATGGCCTTGACATACCTCTGCCAAGATTATTTTCTCCGGCCTACTTTCCTTTATCTCACTTTCCGTTTCTTTAGTGTGCGAGCCAGAGCCCTTTTACAGCTGCCACTGCAATTTAAGCCACATCACCTCCCAAACTAAATGGAGCTTATCTATCCTCTTTTCTTTTTTTCTTGTCTGTGGAAACCCAGATGGTTAACCGTATTTGACAGGTGCAGCTTTGGACTAGCAATTATATGTACAATGGCTTCGCACAGGCCCTATCTGTTCACTTCAGCCTAAGTGAGATGTGTCTCCAGTAAGGATGGGAATTGATATGACAACACTGTCACTCCATATCTCTCTCTGCCTGCTCTTTGATACTGCTGGGTTTAATCCCCAAACTCAAACACAGGGGACTAAAGGAGAGTAGATTTGATTAAGTGGAGCAAATAGTAGGAGCTGTTGTAAGTGTGTCTGTGATGGAATAACCAAAATTCTTCAAGAAGGCAGATCTTGTCAATCATAGCCATCTTGAAAACACTATGGGTGTTTATCTTCTTTTTTAAGAATTCAGTTGTGTGTAAAACTGCATGTATAGAACAATGTTAGGGTAGTCAGCAGAACTGAAAAACTCAGTGTTGGTAAAACCTGTGGACAGAAACAGGAAAAGTGTTTGGTCTATTGTATTTCTTGTACGGTTATTGACTTTCTAAATCTTAAAAGCTGACAAATGCCATTAATAGCCAAAATTAAAACTAAAATCAAAACAAAACTAATCTGAAAACTGAAATAAATTAAACTGAATTTTAAACCAAAATAAAAAAACCAAATGAAAATAACAGTACTTATCAATCAAATCTGATTAGAAATGGCCCAAAACATTTGCTGACTTTTTCCAGTGCAGGGACGTTGTACTTTTAATCCACAGTTGCATTATAATGTTAATGTTAAATAATCAGTATCTTATTCATTCCATTTAATAGCCTAACTAAGATCAAAAAAATCTGTTTTCATAAATTACCTGGCCAAGAGGACAGCAGATTATTAGCAAAAGAAATCGCACAAATGCAACTCTCACACAGCACAAATAAATAAACACAGCATCCATATCATATGCAGTAATATGTCATAAAAAAGTAAAAATTCAAGAGCAATCTCACTGAAAAAGGGAACAACATAAACTTTTTGTAAATCATCCCACAGTAATGTGTTACGACAAGTTCAGGTCCCCGTGTAGATTACTCCAGAAACAATGGGACAGCATAATTTAAAAGACATTTTGCTCAATTTCTGTTCTGACACTGGGGACCAACATCTGTATAACAGCGTGAAAACAAAGGTCCAAACTCATTGTGGTTTTTACGCATGCGTGTACTGTGACAAGAACAAGCCAACACAAGCAATTTTTTTTTATAAACAACCGGTGGAAAAAGGTTCAGACATACAGACATGGCCACTTAACAGCAGCATAGGAAGAACAGTGAAGCATTTAAATTTCACAACACGCTCTCATCCCATCGTGTAAAATACCGACGATTGTGACAAATCGTTGCTATGTTACGCATTGTTAATGATAATGCTCCTTTAGGTTCTGGTCTGGTGCATTCATAGCAGGACACTGTAATTCAGTAATGACAAAAAATATGGCAAGTGTTTTTCTCATTTTGAGTGAAAACTAGATGCTTATTTTTCATACCATAAAAAGGTGGTTTATAGTTGTTATATACCAGCACAGAGTTGACAGCGAGTATAAATATTGGTCTAATTTTTTACATAGAAGTTGTATTCCTTTTGGATAGAACTGTGTAGAATCTCAATAATGCAAAAGATCCACAGAAGAATAAATATTTTATTTATTCATTTATTTTTTTGGCTGACTTATAGTTGGATGGTGGTTCTTATCCTCAGTAGTCTTGTTGTAAACTCGACCAAAGGTATCAAGGTACAAAACCTACTGCCAGCACAACAGTCAGCTTGTGATGATGGAAGATTGAAGAGAATGCTAGTGGAGCTAAGGACCTGTAATTTCACAAGGTTTTACATACACTTGTATATGCAGGTCATGCAGCCCTAAACCTCCCTTTAGAACATTATTGATTGATCTGTACAATCAAACAGTCAGTTAGGATTTTGTCTCCACTACTTTTGCATTAATGAAACATATTTCAGTAAAAACTGAAAAAAAAAAGACTAACCCAGTTTTTTTTTCTTTTCCAAACAGGCCTATTCCCTTTGGCACTTCAATCATTAAGCATTTACAGGCAGCTCTGTCCTTTTTATGTTTTGTCCCCTTTCTCGTTTCCAAGGATATTTCTTGTATTTCAATCCAGTTTTTGTTGCATGCATACAGTTTGAAATTATTTCTGAATATTTTATTTCCGTACCTAAGTGTAAATATGGGAAAGTAGACTACAACTTTTTCTCTGTGAGCAAAGTGTCATGCTAGCATGACTAATTTTCTCATATTGGCGTTCACACTTTTTTTCCCTCCTTGGTGAGATGTTCTTTGCAGGTCCTCATAACCAGCCTATGTTGCGTAGATGAGTTAAATGTTCCAGACTTTTATAACTTCAGCAATATGACGACATTCTCACGTCTGCAAGAGGTGTTAATACATGCAGAAGTCAGCTTGATTGCAGCTTTTAATTAAAACGTGTCCGCATGTGTGTGTGTGTGACAGAGAGACAGAGAGAGAAAGACAGACAGACAAAGAGAAAGGGTGTGTGTGTGATCTGTGTGTGACCTTTAAAGTGTGACTCCAGCTGGATTGTCATCAAGCTGTCTCTGAAGTGATGCTGACACCTCACACGCCAACTCGGTTTTACCGTTGTGTCTGTGTGTGTGTGAGAGAGTGAATGTGTGTGACTCCATGCTAGCGTGCTTAAATGATACTGAGGCAGGAATGGAATAGCAAAAATGAAAAGGAATGGGGAAGCAGATGAATGTACAGTACAGCATGAGACAAAATCCTTATACTGGCTGCTTGTCTAACATATCATCTTCACTTAATCTCCCCATAAGTATTGCTATTTTTAGCTCAATAAACTATCCCAGTGTTGCTTCTTTCTACAGTCCACTTTCCCATATATTATACAGCCTGTGCCCTAGTTGATGTGCTTTTTTATGTGGACTAGTGTAGCTACTTTACTTTTATATAACAGTTTAATGAGCACAAGATTAATTTAAATTGCAGTCTTGGACCTCTTCAAACACACTCTGACCCCCTGTTTAAAAAGAAAAAGGGAGAGAGAAAAAATTAACACTACTTTTCAGAGATGCTTGAATTTGTCTACATTCCCCAAAGCCAAAGGCTTACACCTCCAGTGACCTGTAGCACCCGCTCACCTATATCTTCAATAAAACCTATTGCGCTTGTTGAAAGGGCCTGAGATCCTGTCAGAATGTATGTAACATTTTAGCTTGTGATCAAAAGAGCAGATAGAACAGAAGATGATGAAGAGGAGGAGAAGAGCAGGGGAGGACCAATGCCGCGCCGCAAGCAGAACAAAACGCCTTAGGCTGATTTAATGAATGGAGAAAGACTGTGGCAACAAAGCTCGGGGAAGTTTTCATTTGTCCTAAAAGAAGAAAATTCACTCAAAGTAGGACTGCCCCTGTGGACGCGGTAGTATTTAAAAGAAAAAAAAGAAAAAGAAAAAAAGAAGCATTTTTTGTTTGAACATTTCTGAACAAAAGCAGCGTTCTTGCACATTGTTCTCCAAGGAAACCCATGTAACTGATGCAGTGCAAAAGAACAGGGTTTAATGCAGTTGGTGAGCATAAAATATTCATGGGATCCAGGTCTTCGTAGTGATTGACGATCCAATCATTAGAGGAGATAGACTGCAACTGATTATAGACACTGTAAGTCAGACAAGACAAGAAATGCCCAGCTGTTGAATCAGGAAAGAGATAAACTTTAAACATCATCGAGAAATTATTATTTAATTGATTTTCAACTGATTCTTTTCTCTCTGTCATGAATTATTTTAAAATCCCTCTGAGTGTCTTTGAACACTGTTTCAGATGACATTCAATACCATACAATACAATAAAGCTCTCCTGAAAAACAAAAGTTCTGCAAAAACACTGATTTCACTCTTTCACCTGCATTTAAAAGGTCTGTAAACATGCAAGGAAAATCATTATAAATATATATATGTATTTTTTACAAAACAATGTATTGCATTTAAATTTTTTAAGTATTAGTTTTATAGAATTTGAATAGCCAGTATGGAAATGTAAAATAAACTGAGTCCAGATAGAGAAATTAAAGTGTTACATTCTGTGGTCATTTATTGATTACATGCTGCCAAGCCTCCAGTGAGGACTGTAAATGGGACTATGTAAATTCCAGAAAATCCATTTTAGTGAGCACAGATGCCACTTAAGGATAGTTGACCAGTGTGAGTCAGATATGTGTCAAAACCGCTGACTGTGACACTGTAAGATAAACTATTCAGAAATTGGAACACGAGAATCAAATGTCATTTATCGATGATATTCCACTAAGCCTGCTTTATGCACTGTCGCTGCAGAGCTGTTGTTGCAGGAAGAGTTGCTACTGCTGTTTATCATTTCAATAGGG